TACGTTACGTAGTATACGTACTATACTAGTAAGTTAGTACGTAGTAGTGTGTGTGTGTGTGTGTGTGTGTGTGTGTGTGTGTGTGTGTGTGTGTGTGTGTGTGTGTGTGTGTGTGTGTGTGTGTGTGTGTGTGTGTGTGTGTGTGTGCGCGCATCTGTAGCCTGCTATTGTCTCATTATACCGCACTGTGAATGAATTATAAGTAAATATATAAGTGGTCATGAACACATCTGTCCATCAGACAGAGGGCTGCTGTGCCTCCTGTCATCATTAATGGACGTCTCTTTAAAATCACCGCTCAGAGGAGAGCAGTTCTCATTTCTCTAACCGCCTGCTGCTTCCCCTCCTCTCTCCTCGGCTCCTCCGCTCGCATCTCCTGTGGGCGGGACTAAGTCTCGAGGATAGGAGTCGAGGAGGGGAGTTAGAGAAATGAGAAAGGGCCAATGTATTCCCTTTTTCCCTCTCTGTTTACAGGAAGTTGTGGAGCTAGGTGAGTGAAGGCAAATCACGTTGTCCCGAGTCATCCCCAGAGGTGGGAGAAGTACTCAGATCTTAGTAAAAGTCTGTCACAGTAAAAGTCCTGCAATCAAAATGTTACTCAAGTAAAAGTACAAACGTTTTAGCATAAAAATATAATTAAAGTACCAAAAGTAAAAGTAGTCGTTGTGCAGATTGGTCCATTTCAGAATAATATATATGATATGTTTTATAATGATTGATCATGAAAGTGTTCTCAAAGCTGGTAAAGGTGCAGCTAGTTACAATGACTTTGTATACTGCAGGGTAGCTTGTGGATTTGCTCCAGGTTGAACTAAAGTCTGATTTAACACTTGATTATATTTCACATCATTCATCCACATCTGTAAAGTAACTAAAGATACTAAATAAATGTAGTGGAGTAAAAGTACACGATTGACCTCTGAATTGTAGTTGAGTAGAAGTACAAAGTAGCATACAATGGAAATACTCAAGTAAGGTACTACTATCTCAAAATTGTAGTTCAGTACAGTACTGGAATAAATGTACTTACTTCCCACCTCTGGTCATCCCCAATGTTTAGTTTTTTGTATCAGTCAGATCAGGCTATTATCGGGTTAACACAGTTTAGTTTAATCCCAGCACAGACCTACAGTAGACGTATAAACACAAAACAATGTTGCCTCATCACATTCAATTAAAACACTTTTTCGATATTGCCAGTGAATTATATTGTCTTCTCACGTGAACCCAAAGTACTCTAGGTAAAACACAATCAACAAATGGTGCAAATAGTCTTAAGATGTGTAAAACAGACTTTATTTATATTTGATAGAAGGTACAGAAAGTAATGATATGACCAGGTCAGTGGGGGGGGGGGGCACATGTTACTGACGGCATCGCATGTTCTTTTTTACGACCAGGCCAAAGCCCCTGCTCTGCCTCTTGATCTCCATTGTGGGGTAAAAACAACCCATCTGTTGCCCCTGATCCACAACACAACATCTCTTTGGCAACAATAAAACATAAGAGACATGTTTTTGTTTTTTTCAATCCTCCCTCCTGTACTGGTACATTACATCAATACTCTTAAAAGTATTCTTGTCGAGATACAAAAATATTACGGACGGCTGTCTAGATGGTTCTATGCAAACAAACACTAGAAGACACTACATGTTGATCACAGAGCACTGTGTGCTCCAATATCCCATCAACACACCTTCCATTTCACTTCCTATCATTAACACACACAGAAAGCAAAGCATTGAAACATATCATGATCATGACATCGTTCCCCATTGCCTTTAACAAGCTGACCAGACACATTAGACTTAACACTTAACTGATCTATCCCACCTAAATACAATATGGCTCCATAAGTTTATTTTTAAATATTTCAAGTGTAATTAAATCTCATTCCGTTTGACATTTGATGATCAGATGTGATTTATATGTGAAAAATTCACATAGTAAAAAGTTTTTCTTGTGACTCTTCATTCAAATCTGAAAAGAGTCAATATTTCAGCTTAATACCAAAATCATAGAACAAAACTGCTCCAAACAACGTCAGTGTAGCCAATATAGAAGCAGGAGACAGTAGCAATGAGCAATAGCTGGAACACACTAGATGTATAATGTGCTGATTTACATTATGTAACAGCATGTTTGTTCAGACAAAAGAAGAATTTAACAGCTTTTATTATTGTTGTGCAAGTTTGTATTTGAATGAATTGGCCTGTAGGGCTGGGCAATATGATGATGACTTTAAAAAACAGAGCTTCTATCCTTTTTAAGGGTCCATTTATGCTTATTTTCAGGTTTGATAATTGTATTTTGTGCCTATATTCTGATAAGGTCCTTTCTTTTCTCGTACTGCCTGTGCTGCAGCACCTCTTTTCACCCTCTGTCTGAAACCAGAGCCCAGTCTGCTCTGATTGCTTAGCTAGACGACTCATTGGTCAACCGCTTAGAAACTTCCTTTCCCTTAGCCTAGCACGTATCATGTGTTGGAGCATTAGCCAATAGAAGCAAGAGTGTTACGTAGTGATGTCACTATGTTACATAAGTAAACAACTACTGCCCCTGATATCTGTGGTTTCAAATGAATTATGTTTTAGCTTAGCTGGAGCTTTGCATCAATATGACGAAGAAACTTGACTTTTCAGATGTTCTAATCTAGACAGTTATTTATTGACTCACGATTCAAAGTTCTGCAAAAAGTACTTCTGCAGGAGGTACAGTATAACAAAACTGCAATATAATATTTCATGTGCTGTGATTTCATACATATTGCCCACCCGTATTGGCCCCTATTAGAGAACTCATCCATCATGTAGCAGTCCATATCATGAATCATCAATATTGCTGAAAATGTGTTTTTGGCAGCAATAGGTAACATGAAAATGGATTTCCATGACCATGTGTCAAGACTAAAAGACAAAACCAAAAACGGTCCCTTTTTGTCTTTAATAAAATAATGTTTAAAGATGATGTTTTCTTATACTTAAAACCATGCATTGCTATATTATAAAAAACTGTTTAATTAGTGAAGTCTGAAATGACTTCTTTCCTTATTGTCACGATAGTGTTTTTGATGTTTACAACAGGAGGGATTGGTTGTGATGGCGGTGCTGGCATTCAATTTGGTAGAGAGAATGAGCCACATGTATGTTAAAGAGTACAGTAATGGTCCTGATACAAAATAAATAGTCACAAAATATCACATTGTTCAGGTTTGATCAGCTGTTTCCACACAAAAACATTCTGAAACCAGACATGACCCATCAAAATTCCCATTGCTTCCTGCTTTCTTTTCCCTTTGTCTCTGAATGAACCCAAATATGAACATTATATTACTTGTGATACCTTAAGGATTCTTGTTGATATTTATTAAGACAAGCAAATCAATTTTCTACAAAGTACAAAGTCTGTGGAGCTGTAGAGTCTTCAAAGTGCTGATCCTCTGTTGAAAAGCCAAAAAGTGGAGGTGTCTTTGCCAAGCGACCGTTTGCACAGTTCAACGTTTCTTTTCTCTAAGTCCAGGTGGTTTCACACTCTCATGAATGCTTCCTGTCATAAATTAAGAAGTGAAAAAGGTGGAATATGTGTTGCTTTCCAAAGGTATGTCCTTCCATTGTGTCTCTTTGATCCGAAAAAATATGTACAATCAAAGTATCCCCTGCTTTCATAGATCTGTTTACATCATACACACAGTATATATTAATATTCTGTAATTTTGTATATATTAACCATTCTCTTTTCATTGTTCTAAACAGCTTAGGTCAGTAAGCACAACCTTTTCAAAAGTGTCCGCAGGCGGTAAGAGGCACTGTCTTGTGTTTCTAAAACCTGACGTCAAGAAATAAATAAGAAGTCATGCTAGCAGGCCGAGTTGTTGTCACGGAGAGGCAATAATTATCCACAGGTCATTATTCTTTGTCCCCATCCTCGCTGCTTCCTGCGAAACACAAAATGAGGCAAGGAGGTTTAATGAACACAATTCGGTCTGGGGCGATAAGCTGTTGCCAAAATAATTGCTTTTTTAATGGGGTTGTCACCCACATTGGTGTGCAGTCTAACACAAGAACAACATAGCATCTTCTAAACAATATTATATGTCCATACCTGTTTCTGACTATGTTAGAGTAACTTTTACAGTTGAGGCATAAATAAAAAAACTATTTTAATTCAGTTATCTTAATATTTTGAAATAAAATGCACTCTAAATTATGGCCAACTCAATATGGTTTTGGTGTTAACTGTCTAGGACTGACTCCACATTCATAATGAATGTAAGTCGGTTATCTTCAAATATCAATGCTGAGTATTTTAGACATTTTCTTTTTGTCCCTTAGTTCTGACATGCTATGTTTCCCAGTTTTAGTATCATCGATCATTCAGTCGCAAGTTTCCCTGCAACCACTTCTATAAACTGCTTCAATCTGTTCAGAAATTCGATCTCCTTTTCATTCCTAAAAAATATATATTGTGTTTTATGTATAGGCTACTATGTAAGAATTAAGTCAATAAAACCTAGTCCTAGTGGTTATTTCAAAGGAACCCACCTCCTACAGAGTCCATATCAGAGTCCGAGATGTGTGTGATGGAGAAGCGGGACACGGTGGAGGGGGAGACAGTGAAGCGGGAGAACTGTACGGATGGTTTGGGCTCCGGAGCTTTGGGGATGGAGCGTGGTGGGGGGGAGTCGGCTGCCGCTGAGGATGTTTGCAGAGGAAGCAGGGGGAAGTCGTCCTCCCACTCATACCCTGCACCTGGGAGCAGACAATAAGATATTTAGGAAAGTATATTGCTAACTCAATTAGTTGTTATGGACGTAAAAAGAAGCATATTTTTATGTACTACATTTAAATGTTTTCTTGTACTTACTCTCTTCCGAGATGTTCCCATCTGAAGAGTCATCCGAGGCGTTAAGCCTTTCATGAGATTTGCTCCGTGAACTCTGTCCCTCTGATCCTAAAGGGAAGCCATGCTCAGCTAGCTCCTTAGTCGGGCTTTCCTAGTGGCAGTGAAGTAGAAAAAAATTGTAAAGACTTGAGACTCGAACAATTCAAGCTGTATGATACATTGCCACTACCATTTCACCTGCTTTTTAGAGTGTTATACTGCAGCTAATGTATTAACATTAACTGCAACATTAGCAAGCTACGTCAGGAAGGTTTGTCTGCCGTTTGCCCAACAGAAAATGGCAGATAATACCCTTAACATGACATAAACACAAAAGCAATGAGTTCAAAAAGGTTAAAAAGGTTTGTAGAGCTGAATAATTGGTGATCATTTTCAATGAATGTTAAACTATGAGTGGCCTTTTCAGCCACAAGCTAACTTGAATTTATGCTAATGTCAAAAACATTCATGAAGGTTTTATAAGTTCAGAACAGCCTCTCTTACCTGATCAAATAGGTAGACAGTGACATCATCAAAAAAGGACACCGTCTTCTTCTTGTATTCAAGCTCCTCGTCCAGGTTTTCTGATGTCAGCAGGGTTGGCAGCTTCAGAAGGCTGCGCAGTTTGTGGTCCTGGCTGTTGTCACTCACCACGATGGGCACTGGGTGGCACTCGTCATCGCTCTCGTCCCCTCCGCTCTGTTCCTGCACACTGTAGCTTCGCAGCTCCTCATCCGACTCGTCGCTGTCATCGGTGTCCACGTCCTCCACATCCCCCTCTTCCCCAGACCTGTGGCCCTCTGTGTCAGGGACTGGAAGGGGAGGAGTGGATGGTGGTGGTGGAGAGGATGAAGAAAACCTCCTGATGTTTGCCCTGTGCTGCAAGGCTACCTCGTCTTTGGGTAAAGAGTGAAGGATTTCACCGGATATCCCTGATGGCCTGTTGTGAATTGTCTTGATCTCTGGCTCTTCTGTTGTTTTTAAATCTTGAGGCGAGTCTTCGGCTTCCTCCTCTACCTTGACAGTGGCGGTACAATCTTCGTTCAGGGCACCGATAGCCTCTTCCATTGCCCCCACAACTTCTGCTGCCCAGTCTCCTAAGGATGAACCCTCGTCCTGAGATGGCCATTCGTCCAGCCCACCTTCTGCCATTGAAGCATTGTCAGAAGACTCCAGAGGTAGCCCCAATACCTCATCTAGACCGCTCTCTACTGTCAAGTATGCAACCATCCCTGTTGGTGAATCCATTCCTCCTGTTGACGTGTGTTCCATTTCAAGTTGTATGTCTTTGTTCACATTGTCCCTCAGCTCTTCCTCATCCTCCTCATTTTTTCTTTTTTCACCCTTCTTTTCTCCCATGTGCTGTTCCTTTTCAACCATTTCTTCATGCCTTACTGTCTCTGAAGGTTGTTCCACGTCATCCCTAGAAAGCCTCTCATTCTCATAGTCTGAAAAGTAGGCAGAGTCTCTGTACGGAGTCTTATCACTAAGTGGTAAAAGGATGTGGTCGCCAGTCTGTGAGGCTCCTGAGGCCAAATCTTCCCCCAATGAGGGTTCATCCTCTGTGGGCACTACTTTATCCTCTCCTCCATGACCCTCCTCCTCCTCCTCCTCCTCCTCCTCCTCAAGGCTTGCGTCAAGAGTGGGCTTCCCCAACGGTTGTTCACGGGGTTCATGGGGCTCTTTGAGTACAAACTCAGGGCTTTCGTTATTTTCTGTGTCATAGCCACTGTCCATAGCTTTAGGTGAGCTGGAAGGGTGGGAGGACGCAGGGCTGAAGCCTTCACAAGACCCGGCGGCAGATGGCAGATCCATGGAATCCATGGAATCGGGAGTTCCTACCTGCTTCTGTATCGACTTGAAGGCGGGAGAGGCGTTCAGCTCGCTGGTATCATCTGCAAAGATGCCTGAGGTAACGTCAGTGATATCGTCAGTGTTGTCATCCTCATCCTCGTCATCACTGCAGTCGAGTATGTCAGCAAGACTTACACTGGAGCCTCCTCGGTCGACACCGCTGTCACCATTTTGACTAATCTCAGACTGTGGATCTGTGAGGGCCACCATCACATGCATGTTGTCAGCTGGAGGGGGAGTGGTTATAGCCGTTGCCAGGCTCACTTCTTCCTCTATAGGTTCTGTCTGTCTTTGAATGATTGAATTGTCCTTGATTACATCCTCCCTCTTTTCTTTGAAGTGTGAATCACCCGTTGTCAGATCAACATAATGCTCTTCTCTGTCCTCACTCTTCATCAACGCAGGTTTGGCCACAATGGGACCCCCTGGAGCTGGTGATAGATTGATCATCTCGTCATTGCTTGGGGTGTCAACGGCCTTATCGCTGATGTAGCTGCTGTGAGTGTAGCTGTGACTGTAGCTGTTGTTCCTGACTAGCAAGCCTGTGAGCGGGTCAACAAAGTGCGAGTGGCAGCACTCTCCAGATGCCGGCACCTGAGTCTCACTTTGATGGCACAGGTAGAGATAGGGGTTGCAGTTGTCTGATGGCACCATTGGGGGATGTTTATTCAGGCTAAGGCAAGCACTGTTATCTTTTACCTGTTGGGGCTCAAGATAGTCAATGTGTTTGGGAAGCGAGTGGAAGGCCAGGCTTTGCTCCTCCGGCCAGGAGTCTTCAATATCTGTACTTGGCATCGTGTAGTGGAAATCTACGTAAGCATCCTGTCTGCAGCTGTGGCTAGCGCGTCTTTGGTGACTGCTGTGGCGGTGTTTTGAAGGCCAAGTGTTGCAGGTGTGTCTCTCAACAAATATGTCCTCTTCTTCTTCCTCCTCTGTGTCACTGTCTCTGTGCCCGATGAAGAGTGCCCCCTCTGTCTCCATATTAATACTGACAGAGTGGCTGTTATGCCTGGTGTGGCTGGGCATCGTCTTCCTCAGGGAGCCCATCATGTCGTAGTAGCCCCCTGTCATGTTCTTTCCTATGATGGAGTTCTGACTTGTGTTCAGATATGGGTCTCTGTAGGCCTGTTGAGGTGCACTGCCTACGACGGGGGCTACACCTAGCGGGTTATCAAACTCCCCCAATGCCTGGCGCAGGCTCCTTGACCCCCAGCTTTCCTGATGGCGCTCACTGGAGGACTCATGTCCAATAAGATAGTGATCCATCCCCAATGGCGGTGAGTGCTCATAATAGTAACCCCCATCTCTGTCTTTATAGGACACGTAGTGACTAGACTCCCAGGGTTGCAGTGGGCTATTGTCCAGAACTTGCCCTAAAAGGGGCTCCATTGTCAGGGAGATGGCAGGACTTGAGTCATTTGAGTCGTACATATCAGACTTATTGATATCTGCTGACCAATAGGGATCCATGTTGTTGCCCTGTGACGGGCAAATGCACTCACCTGAGTCTGCACTTCCTGTCAGAAAGCTCCCACTGCTGCCCTGGTAGTCTGGGCTGTAGGAGCACATGGTGTAGTCCAGATCAATGTTACAGTCTACTGGCTCTTCAATGCGGATGTAGTATTCACTGTTTACTGAGGGGCTATGGGCACTAAGAACGGGGAGTACGCCTGGAGCATGCAGATGTTTGGATTGGTAGTAAGGAGAAACTCCGTGGCTTCTCTCCATGGGGCAGCCTCCCACAATGCCCCCGGGTGGGTAAAATGCTTCCTGATAATGATGGTTGACCTGACTCAAGGCACCAGAAGAGTCCGGGGCTCTATACGACTGGTTTGCTCTGGCTTGTTCCCATTTGTACTCAAAGTTTAGGCCGTGGCTGGTCTCAGTGACAGTTAGTATATCATCTCCAGACTCAGAGTGGTAGCCATCAGCAGCTGAAAATTGCTCAAGGAGAGGGAAAGATGAGGAGGTTGAGGAGGGGTGGGTTTGTGACATTGCCAGGGCACATCGGTGGCTGTTGAATACGGTGTTGGGGCGCAGGGAGTTCCATCGCCTCTCAAAGTCCTCTTCGGCCTCACTGGCCCCCTTGGCACACAGGTAGCTGAGCAGCAGGTGGACTTCCTCTGCAGTAGGTCTCTGGTCAGGTTGGAGCCAACAGAACTGCATCACCTCATACCTGAGGGATCCGAGCATAACACAAGTCATGTACACATATAAGAGAAAACAGGTAGTTCAGCAGATAACACCAGCCGGTGCAATATATGTAATGTGCCTTCAAGCGACCAAGAAATTAAGACAACAACAATTTTTTTAAAGGGAATCAAAACCAGTAGAATAAGCATAATAATTAGAGCCTGTAGAATAAATAAGAATCCAATTATCATAGCAGGAATTAGCATGTGTTGCTTTGAATGTGTTCAATGTAAGAACTGTACATGCTTTGAACTAGTTTCTGGTCCAGGCTCTCGTCATCTCACGCCTAGACTACTGCAACTCCCTCCTGGCTGGTCTACCTGCATGTGCAATCCGACCTCTGCAGCTCATCCAGAATGCAGCGGCTCGTCTGGTCTTCAACCTTCCTAAATTCTCCCACACCACGCCGCTCCTCCGCTCCCTTCACTGGCTTCCAGTAACTGCTAGAATCCACTTCAAGACAATGGACTTGCGTACCATGCTGCGAATGGATCTGGCCCTTCCTACATCCAGGACATGGTTAAACCGTACACCCCAGCGCGTGCACTCCGCTCTGCATCAGCCAAACAGCTCGCTGCACCCGCACTGCGAGGGGGACCCAAGTTCCCATCAGCAAAAACACGTGGGTTTGCTATCCTGGCTCCAAAATGGTGGAATGAGCTCCCCATTGAAATCAGGACAGCAGATAGCTTGCACATCTTCCGGCGCAGACTGAAAACTCATCTCTTTCGACTCCACTTCGAGCGATAGAATTACTAACAAAGCACTTATATACTAATAAAGGACTGGCTTATCTAAAGCCAGTTGAGTAGCACTTGAAATGTTTTAGCTCAATGAAACCTGATGTACTTATATGATTCTGTTTTCTTCAAGTTTATATCTTGTTGGTCGAATGCACTTATTGTAAGTCGCTTTGGATAAAAGCGTCAGCTAAATGCAATGTAATGTAAATGTGTTCCTCTGTGTGTCTCACCAGCGTTCGGCCAGCGGCACTTTGAGCAGAGGCATGGCCAGTCGCAGCTGCTGCTCCCTCACAGTGTACGTCAGGACCTGTCTGTCAGAGTAGTGTCTGTAGGGCTGGTTGCCCAGCTCAAACAGCTCCCAGATGGTCACACCCAGAGACCTGAGACACAGGATATCATAGATGTTGTGATTATTAAATATAAAATAGCGATTAGATCAAGTATTTGGTCTAGTCTTAATCTAGTCCAAAAAATATCAAAAATGGGATACCTTGCACCATCCATGTTTTCATTCACAGTCAGAACTTTATTATTTCACAGATCGTTATCTTAAACTTTTCTCTACTTGACTGCTTTATCTTACATTTAAAAAAAATGCACAATAACTGACAGTATTCTTTCAGATAAAATAGGCCTAAGGAATGTCCAAATCTAGCAGAAAAATGAACAGAAAAACAATCAATATTTCCGAACATCTGTGTGTGTGTGTGTGTGTGTGTGTGTGTGTGTGTGTGTGTGTGTGTGTGTGTGTGTGTGTGTGTGTGTGTGTGTGTGTGTGTGTGTGTGTGTGTTGCCTACCACATGTTGCTCTGCTGGGTCTGGTCGGCCACCAGCAGGTTTCCGTGGACCTCGTCCACCAGCTCTGGAGCGATCCAACGCAGCGGCACGTACATCTGATCTGATGTGACCAAGTAATCATCCTGATAGGAACATACACGCTGTGTTTACTTATTTATAATTTAGTTTTATTCAATCATATGAGCTGCACAGTCAAAATAAGCAACAACAACAAAACTAAAGCATTTTATGGTTACTTTTCATCATTTTTTGCTTAGTTTTCAATTTCAATATTGTAATCAAAACATGTGAAAATAATCTCTGTAACATGTACAATATCTAGGAACTCACTTTGGTGGACTAAATGCTAGATCTTTTGGAGATTCACTCATTAGGCGCATATGGCAAGGCAATGTACTCTATACAGACAACAAAATGTACCAGGAATCCTATCTTCTATGTCATTTATTTTTTTGTTCCAAGTACCCTTAACACGTTATTCCTTGCAAAAAAATACGATTCATTTAATTATTTGCTTGTAAAATATATATGTGTTTATATATTTGACTGTGTGCATGTTTTTCTGATAAACAGACCTTGTATTTGCTCTGGGACAGGCCGTAATCTCCAACCTTCACGGAGACATCAGCCGTCAACAAGCAGTTTCTCAAAGCCAGGTCACTAGATACAAAGGGGGAAGAGGTTATAGAGCTGATAGCTCATTTTAATTAATTCATATACAAATTAAGGCCAGACAATTTGAGAAAGGTAATATTTGAGAAACCGTGCATGCAACACTCTGACTTATTGTGAGATGACATCATTCTTTTTGGAGTTGTTCTATAGTTCAACACTGCTATCTGTACAAAAAGCTGCAGACTGAGAGGAAGCTTGACTTGTGGAGATGAGGTCCACCACCTGCAACAAAATCACTGATGCTGGAGTCTGTGAGGATCACTCAGGCAGCACCAGGATATTGTTCCAGGAAGCAACCAAGGAGCAAATGGCATATTTCCAAAATATCATAACAGACCCGGGCCTGGGGATGTAATTTGTACATGTTTTGATATTTAATATGCTCACTACCTGTGCGCGAAGTTGTGTTTGTGCATGTGTAAGAGCGCTGAGGCGATGTCACAGGCCATCCGCTGGAGAAGCAGGGGCTCCGGGGTCATGGCTTCTGCGGTCCTGCAGCTTCGGAGGTAACCCTTCACATCTCCCTGAACACAAAGTAAAACATCTGTATGTTACAAGCTCCCACCACGTGAGGGCAGTGTTGTATTGTACTGTGCTTAATGGGGCCAAGAGTCAACCATCTTTTGTGCAAGAAGGCCCATCTGGCTTGGTATTAGGAATAATGAATAGAAATACACCAACATTGTGTCCTCTGTTGCATGTGTACATTTAAAATGTTTTAACAGACCATCTCAGGTTATGGCTGTGCTGGATTAAATGTTTTTTCTTGTTGTTTTTTTATAGGATGATGGATTTTTAAGCTGCATTTCAAGTGGTACAAGCAAAGCAGGACATATAAACCTGGGTTGAACTGTCAAATATTTATAGCAACTGTCAAGAATGTTTTTATTGCCTTTTTCGATCCATTTAGGGTGCTGATGAGTTACAAGATCTAATGCAGACTTTAAGATGAATTGGGCTTCATTACAAATATTATAGCACATATCTTACAATGTACTCTATGTTATTTCAATATTTTATAGCTTAATTGAATAACACTTAGCAGTAAAAGGAACATTCAAGCCACCGTGTTTTTTAAAATATTAAAATCCTTAAATGAAATGAGAAATTTCCAACAGGGCAGCACAGCGTAAATGTGGCAGCTCTCCTCTCAGATTCAGACCCTTTAACTCGTTGTGACATTTATTCAGATGTCATCTTAATCAACGCTTAACATGTGTAAGGCCTTGGGATACTCACGAGAGGACAGAACTCCATCACCAGTAGGTAGGGAGTGATCTCTGTGCATTGGGCAATACATGCCAGCAGAGCAGGGTGCTGGAGGGAGCTGAGAGGAGGAGAGGACGAGCATAAGGAGAGGAGGAGAGGACGAGAAGAGGAGAGGGAGAGAGGAGGAGAGGAAGAGAGGGCGAGAGGAGGAGGAGAGGAAGAGGAGAGGAAGAGAGGGCGAGAGGAGGAGGAGAGGAAGAGGAGAGGAAGAGAGGAAGAGAGGGCGAGAGGAGGAGGAGAGGAAGAGAGGGCGAGAGGAAGAGAGGAGAGGAGGAGAGGAAGAGCGTGTGGTCACAGCACATAATGAGGCAGGCAGTGAATTTTTACACTAATAATAGTTATGTTATAGTAAAACATTCAACATCAAATGTGTTATTGTTATGGCGTACTATACTTATTTGTTACATACATGTATTTTAAAATGATAATACTACTATGTCCACCATTAATTAAACTAAGCTAACTTTAACTAATCGTGTTAAGGCACACTACTCTGACATGCTATATTATGACTTTTCTATGACTATTTAGGCATACTACAGGAAATGCATATCAACCACAAGTTGATGTTCATGTTTAGCATACGGTACTTAAGTTATTCCCATACAATAAATGTATGGGAATAACTTATCATGTGGCATGAACCGGATTAGAAGAAAGTTATTTGATTTATTTGGATAAAATGGCTAATGTCTCTTTATTTATTTATCTACAAAGATGTTTTGCACAAGGTTATGCGTGTAGGTTGACATTGCCATTCTTTCTGGATGATTTATTTGTTTTCAATACCATTTTTAATGTTATTGTTTTTGGGATTTTTATTTTATTCTGAATAAAGGTGTCTTGTTAGCATGGATGGGAAATTATTATTATTTATGCTTGACACTATATAATAAAACAATAATAAAAAAATCCTATTTCCGAATGACACAAATAATAAAAGTCAAAAATGTCATTCCTTAGTTCCAACACCTGAGAATTGACAGTAAAGTCGATTTGACTAAGATGACTTGTCCATTGATGACAGACAGACAGATAGAATACAGAAATCCAAACAGAATCAATGGTGAAAAAGGTAAATATGTACCGGAAAGGCTTTGCTTCTTCCAGGAAATGCATCTGGTCCTGCACGCTGCTGCTGGCTTTCAGTTCCTTCACCACCACTTGGGAGGAGTTTAAACCTGTGTTCACCTCCCCCAGCAGAACCTGAAACAGTAAATATAGACATATACACACAGGGACCACAAGTACACAGACAAACACACACATTTACATACAAACGAACCCATTGAGTATGGAGTGGGAGTGAGCGTTACACAAAGACAGATACAAAGACATGAACGATCGTGCAGGAGTTCAGGGACAGGAGACCAAGGACAGACAAATGCAGACAAACACACGTACAGATGGACATACCCAGTCAAGGTACGCAAGGATGGAGAGGACGCATGTATAGTGATGAGTGAACAGTTTGAGTGGAGAGAAACAGACAAAGAAACAGAGGGGGAGAGAACGAGAAAGAACGACAAGAACATGTTATCTGATTGTAAAAACACCAAACCATATGGTCTAACCTGCACTGTTGGGTTATTATTAATTTGAGTTTTACATGTGTCCTTTTGGGCTAAGTCTGATATCAAAGGCCAGGGTTTGCATCACACACTCTTGCATTAAAGGTAACTCAGAGTGTCGGCCAGGATCACAGCAGAAACTAACAGCCGTGACATGAGGTTCACTGATCCTTTGATCTACCTGACGGGGAGCTGCAGGGGCGGCTAACAAACCACCGAGCAGAAAGTTATGAAGATTGAGGGTTCAGAGGTGGGCTTACCTTCCCGAACCAGCCATTCCCGATTTCTTTCAGGTAGAGCAGATTGTGGCGGCTGAGATCTGTGGATTTCAGGAGGTGGACTGCAGGGAAGAAGAGAGGAGAAAGGTGTTACAGGGATAGAAAACTGAATTTCAATGATTTTATTGTGGTGTTTACACAGCTAATCACATTATGTTGCATTATAGCTTGTTCACATACTGTGGTAAAGTGGTTTGGATATGTTAAATAGGTTTATCCCACCATTCAATGCAGTGATTTCCATATGACTTATATATGATGACCATAATGATAACAAATCTATTAGCCGGAGTTACATTATTGTAATGTTAAGCCATGTTGTATAAGTTGCATTATCAAACAGTATGAAAACAACATTAGTAATGCAGGATAGATTCCCTCTGATGGATTACACTATCAAGCTCAAGCTATTAGCAAAGTAAATCGATTTGTATACCACTAGAGGATGGATGGAAACCAAAGGATGCTTGAGACACAAGAAAACACTGTATAGAACATATATAACTGTATAGACCTCAATTAAAAATAGTCTCCAACAATGTCAAGTCAAATGAAGTAAATGGTCCAGTAAGTTACTCAAATAAGATAGTATGTAGGAAAAAAAGAAAAGAAAAGTAAACTATGATTAAAAATATATATATACTGTAGTATGTAGAATTAATCTGAAAAAACATCATATATATAATATGTCGAAAATATGCAAAAAAACGGCTTAAGTTGAAAATATCTCAATATATTATATTGATATTATATCTATTATATATTATTTTTCAACATACTTTGACTTCTATTTCAACATACTATGATTTCTTCTTTTGCATATTTTCGACATACTATACTATCTCTTTTTTTATTTTTTCGACACACTTTACTATACCGTGTTTTGACATATTTTCGACATAATATACTTTGTATACTGGTCATAATATACTTGCATATTTATGACAGACATCGTTATGTGGTTTTTTTAAATGTATTAAAAAAAAGAAAAGTTATGGTATGTCAAAAATATAACAAAAAGTTGAAGAACAGTCATTTAAAGTGTGAAAAAAGTGGTAGTATAGTACGTCTTAGTTTGTAAGGATGTAGAAAATATGTTATATTATAGCATGTTGCACATATAGAGAAAACTGTCATAGGATAGAGGTATGTTGAAAATATCAATAACATTTATTTTTAGTATGATGAAAAAATGTAATAGTAGTATGTCCAAAAATATGAAAATAAATATAGTATAATAAGAAATAATTAATTGATATGTCATACTATACTAAGTCAAACTATTTGAAAACAATGAATAGCAGAGTATGTCTTAAACTATGTCAAAATCGAAAATTGTCACAGTATATTACATCATATAGTATTTTGAAAAATGTAATGACAAATTAAAATGATAGTATGTTGAAAATAGTCATTGTATAGTATGTCGAACATAAATAAAAAAAGTCATAGTATCCAAAGTTTGGAAAAATTTCACTGTTGAGCATGTCCAAAAATATGCAAAACACGATACACTATGTATGTTGAAAATATGAAAAAAGGCATAGTAAAGCAGATTTAAAATATTCGGAAAGTAATAATAACATTTTTGGAAAAAATCTGATCTGTATTGTATGATGGAGAAATATGAAGTTATAGTATAGAATGTGAAAAATATTGTAAAAAGCTCCAAGTAAAGTACGTTGAAAAGACAAAGGCTTCCTGTTGGTTGGAATTCATGCTATCCTTGTTTCATGACTTTAATATTATTAAACGTATAACTTTAAGTGACAATACACAGACAATTAAACATTTTTGAAACAACACAGAACATTCTGAGATAATTCTGAGAATAACCTCAAAAAACACAGTGGAAAAAGGATGACCTGCATCTAGAATCTAGCAGAGTATATTTACTTAAGTACTTTATCCAGTCCAGTTTTGAAAAAAACGGCATTATATAGAGTCTAATAGTATGTTGAAAATATGCAGAAAAAGGCAGTGTAGTAAGTTAAAAAAAAAACAACGTGGTATAAAAAGAAATTGTCGTACTATTTTTTGAGTATGCCTCTATCTACTTCCCTGCTTAACACAATAATGTACTTTTTAATACACTACACACATATTGTCGGCTACTTAACGAGGGGTTTGATTTAAATAAATAAATATATTGCATTTTTATGGAGGTGAATCATAAACCTCAGTAATACAGACCAAAAAATAACACATAACATTGAAAGAACGCACCATATCCAGGATCTTTGGTGGACACCATAAATATTCCATTGTCTGTGAAATCGATGGTCATTAACCCTCTCTAACATGGTCACCCAAACATGCCAGTGGATGTTGCTGGTCCATGAGTAAACAAAGTGTATTCTATATTCAGGCCCTGTTCTGTCTGACTGTCCTCCAAAGCCCTGATGCGTCTCTCAGCATCCCCAGATGACCGGAGTCCTTCCTGCCTGCTGAACACGCCTGCCTGTCCGCCTCAGCTCAGTGAAATGAAACGGCTCTTCCCCCCTCACCATCCATCCCTTTTCTTTCTCTCCGTGTCTCCCACGATGACACTTAGAGTCTGGGCGTAGAGGCGGACAAACTGATCTTTGTGGAGCTGTCGTCGCCTTGCAGACTGCAGCACAGTCCAGTCCCTGTGTGTAGGCCATATTGGACACCCCTGTCTCTCTCCCTGGACTGGTCATTCCTTACACCCACTCACCCTCTCTCCAGCGCTAAGCAGAATAACAACCATTGTTTGGATGCTTGGGGAAGCATGGCACCAGTTAGGACCAGTTAGTAGGCACACACTGGGGCTATTATCCACATGCTCTATGACAGAGGAATGAACTGAGTGTTGGCGACAACAACGTCAAGCAATGGATCCCAACCTCTCCCAGTTCCATTGGTATCAGCCAATCAAATGGTCGATATGAGTGGCTATCAGCCTCATTGATGTGGATCAGAATTTGCCTGCTACACCTTTGGGTTTATGAACAAACCACTTGGTTGAACAGTGAAGGAATATAATTAAAGCATCAAAGAATATAACCCCAAACCAAACACGAATACTTTTGTATATTGTAAATTCTACGCTCTTTCCTGAAGAATACGTTTTCTATGAGTTCTACCGTAACCATTAATTTCCAACATTTATATTCATTTCAGTTTTACATGTAAGAAGTGTAAGAAGTTTTTTTTTTTTTTTTTTAGGTTTCACTTCCACTCCACAACCATGCCATCTAGTTACCCTCAAATAATAATAATACTGATGGAACAATGATGAGACTTATCCTGGAGGACTATATTATAATATTGGTTGTGTTTTGTCCATTGCTTAGCAGTTTTTTATTTGGTTTTGGAATAGAAAAGTAAGTAAGTTATGAAACAAGTGATTCATAGAGCCTCATTACAATAATACATTTGTTTTCATGAACTACACTTTCAACACGAATAAAGAATGATATGACAATGGTCTCCCATGTCTGTCTTAACCTGCTAAGTTCTCATATGCCTTTTAAGCCATTAAACTAACTCAATTTCCACCTGACAGCTGTCTGGTCTTTCTAAGCTGTTTGTTGCATCTCTCTCTGTAGAATGCACCTAGCTTAATCGCTATAGTAGACAGGAAGTCTTTAGTGAAATGCCAACGGCTAAATCACTAAGAGTCAAATGGAATTCCCATTATACTCTCCAGTCCAGTGCATCCTATACTCTGCTGAGCTGTCCTTGAACAAATATACACTGATGATGTTTGCCCATTTAGTTGTGTAACTCAATTGGTAATGGCAGCATGTGGAGGATTAAAATGTTGATGTATGTATAATGAATGCAGACATAAGAGGAGTAGGATGTGTTGGATACATGTATGTCCTCTGACTGGAAGAACATTTCATTGTGTGAGTGTGTGCGTCAGATTCATCGTTGTGTGTGTAGCTGTTCACATGTCTGAGTGGGTGTGGGCTCCATTACTCTGTGCAGGAACAGCTGCATCAGGGCGGGTCCTGATGGGGACTGGGCCTCGGACTGAGACAAGCTCTTACATTACTGGTGAGTCAATATAGTTAGAGGCACATACAACATCCTAAGAAATACATATAATAAAAGTATGGAAAGTATAAGAGAGGAAAATGTACAAGCTAGCTTCAGTACAGTACAGTATCATAGATTCATTGAGCCATTACATTTCTCACTAATAAAAAAAACACAAATCTGTTTGCCCTTATGATGTCACTGGGTGAGGCAGTCCTGGAGGAGCAATAATGAATCCCTGACCCCGACCACTGTAATACCATATGGTTGCTATTATTCACACGGCATATGTGGAAGGGCCAGTTCAATAAAACCACAGAACATGGTGAGGACATTTTCTCGCACGTTATCAAGCCTTGCAGAATGTTTGGGTTTTGAAATGTCTTAGTCTAATACCTTTCCGATCAATAATTCCTTCTTTATAAAGGAAATTCCGTTTTCCCCCCTTCAATTGACATATTTTTGGTTTTCCAAAGAAGATAAAACTAAATCTACAACAAGGATAGGTTTAGAGAGAAAATATATTCTTTGGGATTTGGGTGAACTTACCTTTATTTTTGTATTATCCAGCTTGTGTTATATAGGTTTTTGTGCATGATAATGGTCTTAAAAAAGGCTAAAATCCCAAAGTCTCCTCCAGAGGGAGTTTCTCTCCCACACACTCCCCCCCTGCCTGAAACGCCTCATTGGACTGATCGACATAGTGACATCACTGGAGCTTCTATTGGCTAGCGCTCCAACCTATTGCACGTGATTAAAACCTGTTAAGCCCCAAAGCCCCCCTCGCCGGGGGCTTCTTTTTTTTTTTACGACACGGTGTCTCAGGGCATCTTAATATTTAAGAACCTATTAATGTGTTATACCAGATTAACGGGAAGAATCTCAGCTAAATGACGATAACAATTT